TTCTAGTGCTAATTGGGCCCAGAGATATAATGGCTGGGACAGTAGATTACCTACCTACTCCATCCTTTATACCACTACTCTTAAGGATTTGATTAAGCTGGCTGATGTCAAATAACATATGAAATATTATAAGTGAAGTGATGGAGAAGCTAACTGATTGGCTCAATATCGGAGTGTCAAAACGGTGTGTTAATGTGCCCGTATCGATATTAACACTTACCTAATTTAAACAAATCAACATCGGCAGAGCTATCAGCTTACAAAAGCTCTCCACACCCATTTTTTTGACCTAACTCCTCCTTAATGTTTTTCCAAAATATGAAGGGACTTACCTAGTTTATTCTAAGCCGCATCTGAATGGCCGATGAATTGATTTTCATATCAGAAATACACTTGGAGGACTTGACATTCCGCGCATTCGAGCACTCGCACCCTGGCCTTCAGAATGTCAGCCCGCAATGCTAACCATTCGGCTATTGCGGCCGCCACTTGTTTTACAAATATTAAATTTCTCAAAATTTTAGTACTGATTGTCTGTTTTCAAACATTAACAAACATTAATTTCTCTTTCGCAAAATAATCTAAAAAAAAATATACAGAACTTTTACATTGACCTTGAAACTGTAACCATAAAAGTTCCAAGTAAGCGACTGAAGTTGTAAAGGGTGATTTTTTAGCTATTATCTCTTTGTCAACACTGGTTTAAACAGCTGACGCAAGTTTCGTGTTTGGTATCACTGTGAAATATCGTCAGTTTGGTCTATAATTTACTCATGAAACGTCTTAGAAACGAGCAACGCTTGCATATCATTGAATTTTATTATTAAAATGCCTGCTCTGTTAAGATTAATGGGAGCTTAAATAAGCAGGATTGTCGATTTTGGTGTGTAGATCAGCCAGAAGCATTGCAAGAGCTGCCAATGCATACAGAAAAAGTCACAGTTTGGGGCGGTTTATGGGCTAGTGGCATCATTGAACCGTACTTCTTCAAAGATGATGTGAATGGTGAGAGTTACCGTGAGATAATATCAAACTTTTTTTTACCCAAAATGCAAGAGCTCGACTGCATGACATGTGATTTCAACGAGACGGTCTCACATGCCACACAGCACGTGTAACAACGGACTTATTGAGAGGCGAGTTCAGTGAACATTTTATTTCACAATCGAGTCCGGTCAATTGGCCGCCTGGATCGTGCGGTTTAACGCCTTTAGGCTAATTTTTGTGGGCCTATGTTAAATCTAAGGTCTTTACAGACAAGCCCGCTTCCATTTACGCATTGGAGGGCAACATTGAAGAATTTATTCTTGAGATACCGCTAGAAATGTTGGTAAGAGTATGCCAAAGCTGTACTAAGCGGATGGACCATTTGAGGCGCAGTCATGGTCAACATTTGCATGAAATTATCTTCAAATATTAAATTATATGGACCGTACTAGCAATTCAAAAAAGATTTCTTCATTTTTCTGAATTTTATGTGTTTTTTTTTTTTTTTTTTTTTTGAAAACTATCCTATAGCTCTTAATAAAAATCACCCTTTAAAGTCTCAAATCATTCGTTGGCGTTTCTTGATTTAATTCAATGCTATATACGCACATACGTATATACGTGAAGGTGCTCCAAGCTGAATTTCTATTTATATTAAAATTTCTAATTCTAATTCAGTCTTTTTATTCAGTTTGTTTTGCCCACCTTCACAAAATATAAATTTTTTCTTTTTCAGTAGAAAGATCTCTATCGATTGACCAGCAAACCAGTGAAGCGAGGGGTTGAGCTGCGATTATAACGTGGTAATAAAATAGTGGCAGATAGTTCTGCGGAATGAAATGTGAACTCTCGGCCATTAAATCATGTTGCACAATATTCACCTGTAGGAATATAAGTATGTACGCTTGTATATGGTTGCTCATAAAAGCCGAAATTGTTGCACAGTGCCTGCTTATGCTTATATTATACTGAGTTAGTATTTCTTAATGCTTGCGTTTTCAAATGAATCTTTAATCGTTCAACTCATGAGGTGAATAACTTTTATTTTTCATGCGGTTTTACTTTTTTCACACCTTGTTTTTTTTATCTACCAATGATCTTCCTTTACGTTTCTGTACTTGGCAAATCAAATAATTTAATTTATGGCCGCGTGTGTTCGCTCTTGAATGCCAACCCATTCGTGTTGCTTGTTTTAAATGGTGCTACGAAATATTTCGGCACAATTAGTTAAGTACCTGTAAACTGCATTATGAACTTTTCACTGCATTTTACATTTTATCACTCACGAGCGTACGCCTGTCAGTCACTTGGTCAGCCAGTGAGCAAAAGTCTTTCTATGAATATCACATTAAAAATTGTCTGGAAAATTTACAATCTCCTTTGAAAAAGGCCCGTAGTGGTGATTTAGTTTAAAATAACGATTTGAAAGATAAAAAAATTAATGCAGCTCTATTCACACAGCTGACAGGAAAAAGCCCGCACGATGACGCAAAAGCTTACAAAGTTGAGTACCAGCGATCCGGCGTACTTTTCTTTAATCCCAAAAAATCGCATGGGGCGAATTAGTATGGTTTGGGCTTGCCGGAGAGTCATTTATAGTAGGCGGCGTGTATTGCTTATACAGCCTCAGGGCTACAATCAATTCTTACTCCTGCATTTAACCGAGTGTAGTCTTGGATCGCGGCTAAAAGTGTTGAAGCTTCAGGCGTGCTACTCCTACAGTTGGTTGTATAGTCGCTAAAATGATTTACTAAAGTCTGTTTGCGGCGTCTGTTTATCAGAAGTACGGCTACGGAAGTACATCTGTCTTGAACTAAGTGTCTTCCTGCATCTACTCGTACATCTATGTCTTTGTCTATATTTTATATACATCTATAAAACAAACTTAGGCTTGGAAAAGGTTTGTTTCTAGTGATGTCCGAAGCTTTCAGGCAGATTATACTGAAAATTTATCAATTTGTTTCAAGGGTTCTGGAAAGATTGGTAAAAAAACCTTTCGGGAAGTGGAACAGGTACTAACCACTGCAAATCGAACAATAAGATTTGCTTGAAACATGGTACCTACATACATGGTTCTTTGCTTAGTTTAGCAAATTACTCTACTAACCGACATCTGGACCAAAGAACAACCTATTGGATAACCCGTATTTACGGTTCAAATTACTTGAAATTCGGCTGATATGTAGATGGCTCTTTGCTTAGATTACCAGGGAGACTAGTTTGCTCGCCGGTATCACGGCCAGAAAAAAATACCCACCTATGGGAAATGTATTCGGTATATACTAGATGGATTTTTTTTTTAGATTTATGGAAATACTACTTTTCCCAGGCAAGGTCTGGAGAATATGGCAGTTGGGCCAAGGCTCCCCCATTTTGGCGTTTCCAGGTGGTTTTTCACCGTTACAGCCTCTTGAGCCCGTGCGCTGTCAAGTTGCAAAATCTCCTTCCCATGCTTTCGGTTGTTTCTCACTGTTTTTCATACAAAACACGGCTCAAACACGTTAGTTGTAGTCCATAACGTTTCTCATCAATAATTTTGCCTTGTTGGCATGGATCTTGATCCAGTAAATCCTCCAACTATTCATATTCAACCTTTTGGGTTGGCCAGAATGATCTTTGACTTGGGCGCTACTGCACAACTTTTCGGTTGACGCCGATTCAACATAAACTTTCTCAAGCATTCAATGAGCTTCAGTTTGAAAAAATAATAACTTCACGAAAATGCTGTTTATTTAACATAAATCCCGACATTGTCTGAAGACGCTGATGCACACTAATGAATGTGGACAGATGTGAAATCTATCTAATAAAGTAGGTAATCATTTCCAAAGATCGGCCACAACTTACACAGTGAAGTATCCTTGCTAAGCTGCATAATGCTTTGCTGTGCAAGCCTCAATCGAGGCTCATCAGACCTTAAGGACACAATCCAAGGGCATGGCGTACAGATAGACAGTAAACGCTATTCACCAGGAGCTAGTCAACACATTCAAACACTCTCTCCCTGTGAATGGCGTTCTCAGATGACCTCCGTTGTTGGGAAAAGTCGTTACAACAACAACTACAACATCGGCCAACACTTACAGGTGGTGCATTTTTTGAGTACGGATCTAATTAATTTAATACCAGATATAAGCTTATCTTAGCATTAAAAGTCCTTTGGCGTTGAGTTCATAGGCAAAGGCTAAGACTTCCTCATAGTAAAGGGAAGTAAAGGCTTTATAACCTTAAGTGCAGTGGTGATGTGCTTTCAGTTTCAAGAACCTACTCTTCTGGGTTTTCACAGAGAGATTAATAGTGTTGCAGCATAAGCGTATTTTTCCCCTCTAGGCGAATGGTGTTGAAGTTACTCGGTTTCAGTTTCAGTTTCAGATCACAAAATATAACTTGGCAAATTTTGGAAAAATGCAAGTTTCTTAAAGGTAGACACTAAGTCAAAGTTCCTACATGCCTTTGGCAACGCTATGGTCGTCGTAATCGCTCATCATCGTAAAGGCGTCGGTCAAACCTAACCTACGTTAGGTATAGATTCTCCGAAGTGTTGTGTGGATGGCGCCTATTGGAAGCAGTTAAAAAAGAAGAATAAATTCTAACTGATATCTTAAGTTATTGTGTACTGCGTTTTCTACTCAAAAAAAAAACTAAAAAAAGGAAGATGTGTGAAATTTTCTGGCTCTGGAACAATTTGAGCAACTAAACCAAAGTTTTAAATTTTATATGTCAAAATTTGTTGAGCATTTCGATAAATAAAACCTTTACATATAAAATTTAAACTTAAAAAAATTATATCTGGTGCCAGAACAAAATCTTACAACATGTAAGCCTGCACATATTTTAATATATTATATATATAAAATAGAGCTAAATTAGATTTTGTGTAAATTAAAAATTAAATACTAATTTTTTATTCAATATTTTCTAAATACATATATAAAAATATAAATTGTATGAAAAAATTGTATGAAGACTTTACTACATTTATTTTCCGCTGAGTTTGAATATGCCCATAGCTTTCGCCCACTCAACTAACGGAATGTTATGTCAATATTAATTTAATTAATTCCTCTTCTCGAATGAAGATTTTGGCCTTTTAAATTTTGTTAAAAAGGTTTTCAATAAAAAAATAAGCAATTTGATAAAAATGGTGCATAAATTACGTAATCGCGATGTTTGTCACACTTCTCCAAGGCCCAATCAAGCCCAAAGTTCATTTAAAACTCAAAAAAGGCAGGTTCTACATTCCACGCCTCAACATAAACAATTGAAGCAAAAGGATGCACAGAATTATGTAAACTCAAGAATTTTTCATTATTTTTAATATGTGATGTGATGAGTTAATATATTAATTACAATTTTAGCATGTGATAATGGCAGATGTGAGCAACATTGGGCAGCTTACCATGCCTACTTTGCAACAGAGCGACGATACAATTTCAGTTAATTATTCCGCAGTATTTGAAGCTACAAGCAATACGAAAAACATTGTGAAACTCCAAAACGCTGTTGATGAATCCATATTTAAACACACCTTTGGAAAGAGAAATGGTGTTTCGCTATACGCTGTAAAAAAATCCTTGCGGGAAGAGTATTCATACAAATCTGTTAGATGTAAGTAAAAACGTGTGATTACATAAATAAAATTAATACGATATTCACTTTAAGCCTTAAAACCTATATCGCGTTATGTCGCTTTTGCCATTAAAAATGGTAAATTCCAACAAATAACCGGTCACGGTGCGTCAGGAACGTTCCGTTTGAATCGCGATATACATGTTAGTCACGTGCGTAGATTGGGTGGGCTTCGAAAAGGTTTGTACTCTTACTCTCCAATTTCGGGCGGAATGCGTAGTTTGATAACTTCTTCTCAGTTTCAGCACAGTCTCATGCAATTCAAAGGCAAAGAGAAAACAAACAAACTAAACATAATACGATAGCATAAACAGGTCTAGCTAATATTTATATTAATAATTTAGATACATACATATGTACATTTGTTATACTTTTCTGTTTTTCTTTGAAAATCTTCTTTCTAATTTGGAAATTCTGTCTTCAGATTAATACTGCTGGTTTATTTATTGTTTGTATTCTAATAATCTAATAATAATTTTGCGTTAGCAAAGTAGTTAATTAGATTGTTCTAAAATAAGTATGTATTAGTAAAGACAACGTAAGAATTTAAATATAAGTTTTCATATTATTCAATTTATTTTTGAACTTTCTTTATATAATTTTTGAATATATTAAGTTTCGCCTTAAATTAAAATCAATAAAATTAACTCAAATATAAACAATAACTATTTTATTTTAATATTGGTATAAGTATATGTTTTTTTAACTGCGCGCTGCATAAATTTGTTCGTTCTCCAAACAATCAAATTCCACTTGTGCCTCTATCCAACCAGCAACACGTAACAACATCTCTTCATTTAATGAGCGACTCATCAATTGCAAGCCAATTGGTAGACCACGCTTCGAGAGTCGTATTGGTATAGAAATAGCTGGTATGCCTGCCATATTGGCAGGTTGTGTGCAGAAGTCTTGCACAGCACATTGGTCCCGGTTACTTTGTGATATAAAGTCGCTGTATAGCGGTGCATCTGACAATGTTGTTGGCGTGAGCAGAACATCTACTATTTTTTCGTTGTTTTTCGGTGTTTCAAATACCCTTTTAAAATCATCCGCTATCAATCTGCGAACACGTAATGCTTTTTCAAAATATTTCTGATAATTCTTACGCAGCAAAAAGTAATTTCCAGTTAAAATACGCGTTTTTACAACTGTATTAAAGCCCTCTGCTCGCGTATTGGCGTACAACTCTTCAGTGCTACTTTCATTTCCGGCGCGGTGTCCATACTCGATACCATCATAGCGTGCCATATTACTCGCAACTTCACACTGATTCAATATGGAGTATACAAAAATGCTTGCCGCAGTGTTTGGCAGTGAAACTTGTTCTACGTGTGCTCCATTATCTTCTAAAAGGTCCGCAACTTTCATCCATGTTTCCAGCACTTCCTTTGTAAGTCCCTCACAATGATATTCTTTCGGTATACCAACACGTACATTTCGTAAATCAAAATCTTCAAAAAACGGTATATCAATTTTTTTAAATGGTCTTCTAATTGTAGTAGAATCCTTAGCATCAGGACCAGCTATCGCATTTAGTATGTCAACGCAATCGCTAACATTGCGTGTAAAAATGCCGGGTACATCCATTGAGTTTACTAATGGAATGAGACCATGTCGCGATACTAGACCATACGTGGGCTTCAAGCCAACAACTCCACAGTATGACGCGGGATTGCGTGTGGAGCCGCCAGTATCGGAGCCTATGGCGCTGAAAATATGTTTATATATTTATATTGTTTGGAAAATCAAAGTCATATTAAATAGAATTAAAATAATTTTTACCGGGAAGATTTGAAGCGAGAATAAATCCAGCAAACGCGGACGTTATAAACACACCCATTTAGGGATTTAGGAAATTATAAAATTGTTAATTTAAAGAAATTAGCTATTCTATAACGTAATCGAAATATATCAAGCGGTGCTGGTAACCCACTTTTAACTGTTGGCAACGCGAAATTAATTTGACGTTTGACGTTATTTAATGTCAAAGTTTGCTAATCTCTGGCTGTCACTTCTGTCATAATCGTAAGGTGCTAAAACCTAAATAAAAAATTATAAAACAAAGTTTTAGAGGCGATTTTCACGTAATTTTTTTTACAAGGATGTCGGCGCTTTTTCGTATGGCCAGTCGCAATGTGCTGCAACGTAGCATATCGTTGAACATGTCCCGTTCTATCAAAACTTCACAAAAAAAGGATGATACTGCCGCGGTCATTACACCAAATACGAAAGAGGATTTTGCCAACCCCAACCCAAAGAACTGGGTTAGCTGGGGATTCGACTATAAGGATGAAACAAACGATCGCAACACCACAAAAATGAGCTTTTTCACTGGTGTGACACTATGTTTAGTTTGGGGCACATTTTTCTGGTCATATTCGCCGGATCCACAGCTGCGTGATTGGGCACAACGTGAGGCCTATCTAGAATTACGTCGCCGCGAACAAGCTGGTGTCGATTTAGTGAATCCCAACTATGTTGATCCCGCATCTTTTAATTTGCCATCAGATGAAGAATTAGGCGAAGTGGAAATTATTATTTAAATACTATATTTAATTGTTACCTAAACTAATTCGATTGTTTAAGCGAAATGCCACTTTTGTGCTGTTATGTAATAGAATGGTGTTACTAACAAAAATCACGAATAAAATGAAGTCAGATGCATTCGAAACTAATTTTTTTTTAAATAATGCAGAAAATTGTATTTAAATACGAAAATGTTAATACTGCGACATGTTGTTTTCAAATGCATACTTGCCAGGAATTTTTTAGGTTGTGTTCGCAAACAGTCGCTGAATGAAAGCCAACCCGGACACGGACAAGTTTTAATGTTAAAAGGTAATATACCTGAACCTATAATATTATAATTAAACTTACGCATAACATATGCCTGCCGCAACTGCTGTCGCGGACCCACCGGAGCTACCACCCGCTATATGCCATTTGTTATCACTTAAGTCGTTGCTCCATATATTTTTTGTAGGGCCAAAAATTGAATCTACTGTCCCAGATCCCATAGCAAATTGGTCCATATTTGTTTTACCAACTAATACTGTACCAGAAGCTGCCAGCCGTTCACAAACAGTCGCATTATAAGGTGGAACGAAGTTAGAGAGCATACTGCAATCAGTTCAGTTATTAGAATTATGAAAAACATTTAAATGCAACTGTATTACCCGGAAGCACAAGTGGTGGTTAAGTTTTTGGTGCAGAAATTATCCTTTATGGCAATAGGAACACCGTCAAGAACGCTAAGTTGGTTTTTGTTTTCATAGCGGTGTTCAGACTCCTTGCCTTGGTGCAAGGAATTCTCAGGTGATATTCGTATAAAAGCATTTAAATGTTTTAATTTCACAGCATCGTCCAAGGCATGGTCCACAACCAAACGTGGTGAAATACTTCCATCCGCGTAGGAAGCCGATAGCTTTAAATAGTAAAATCATGAGTATGCCGTCATTAAAAAAAATTGTTTTAATTCAAATTCACCTGTTTTATAGTTAATTGTAGATGTCGCTTCATAACTCTTCTAATTTTCTTCTAAAACTTGCAAGGAAAACTTACCGATAGCATTGCCACCCGACACATATTTCCATTTTTCATAATCTTTCAAATCTACCACTATTTACAAAAAACGCATATGAATAAGACTTCAGAGCAGTTTTTGCAATTGGTCTTTTGCTTTTGTCGAATAAAAAAAAATTAGTTTCGCTTCAAAATATCGCCCTTCCGAACAACGTATAGCGTGAATAGGACACGAACTCCTCGAACCGACGCTCCTTTTTATGATTTTTCATTAAATGCCAATTATGAGATTGTCATGCCACTTCCAATGCAAATACCTTTTTTTGCCATATATCTCTTTTTGAAATTGAATCGAGGTGGCAATATTATTAATTTTTTCCTAAAAAAGTAAATACTGCAAACAGCTGATATCTTAATATCGCTCATATACCTGTTTCTGTTTTTTTGTTGTTCAATTTTCGATTCTTGTCGCCTTTAGTAAAAGTACCAGTATGTAATTTTCATACAATATTTATTATAGATAAACTTTGAAGAATATATGCTAAGAACTTTCAAAATAACAGCTTCATAAAAAGTGAAATGAATAAAGAACTTGTTGAAAACATCTTGACCGTGCTTAAAACTTCCACGGACAGGAGTGTTGTAATCAAAGGTCTTATAAAGCTACGAACTGATGTTGTAAAAAATCATGATGGCATTGTTCTATTTCGGTTAGCTGGTGGGGTAGCACCCATGGTACGCTTTCTTAACAAACCACACGAAAAAATTCTAGAGGTGGCTCTTAGCATACTTGGAAATTGTTGTACGGATGAAGAAAGTTGCAAGGAGGTAAGTATACATTTGCAACACATATGCCCAAAATAAATTGAAACGTTTTAATTTTTGGAATCATAGGCATTGCAATGCAAAGTGGTTTTTCCACTTACAACTATTTTGAAATCGATTCCCAATCCTATAATACAATGCCGAGCTTGTCGTTTGCTCGGAAATCTTGCCAAAGGTTATGCCGACCAATTACTTGCCGCACATTGTCCTGCTATTGCGCAGTCCGTTTGTCAAATTATAACGGAGACTAGCGATGTTAACACACGTCTTATGGCTTTTCGAGCTTGCCGATTCTTATTGCCAAATCAACTATTCGTACATCATTTCCTCGCTTCAAATGGTTTAATAATGATGATACGTATCTTGACTGCTATCATGAAGAAAAATGTCGCATCTATAGAACAAGAAGAGTTGCTTAAACAAAACCAATTTGGTGGTCGTACAATTGGTCTGAAGAATAGTCAACATCGTGAAAAATATTTCGAAGAGGTCGCACGCAATCTAGAAGGTGTGCGCAGTGATATATTCGATCACGAGATGCTAAAAAACCAGCCACGAGCTATGGGTGAATACGCAATGCCTGAAGAACGTGTAGCTTTAGATCTAGCTGGCGAAATATTTAAATGTTTGTTAGTTTTAGCCGAGTTGCCGATAAGCTCAGCTGCTTGGAATGTAAGACAATAAAGTAAATGGCCAACAATAATTTTATTAATCATTTCTTTTTAGGCTTTAAGCACCAGTGGCTGCACTTTCGCACCAATTACCTTTTTTATAACGAAAGAAAACTCTCAGCGAAATGTTGCTTTAAAAATTATTTCAAATTTTTCAAAACAATTAGATGCATTTCATATTCTTAGCTCTGCGGATGCAGTTGTGGCCGCTTGCGAACTACTTGTCGCAGAAAATATGGAAATGCCGTTAACAGAAAGCGAGAAACGTCATTGCATACATATCATTTGTATGCTCTCGCCGGACGCTTGCAATCGGTCCAAAATACGACGTTCCGGCGCTTTGCGTAAACTCATTGCAATGATACGGGATTCTCAGTCTAATACGGAGAAGTCTCAGATTTTATATTTGCTCAATAACTTTCAGTATGACAACATGAGCATGGACTTAATGCTTAGGCAAGGGCTAGTACCGGTAATTATTGACGAACTCAATACATTCTTAACAAGCGACGATGAATATCACAAGAAAAAACGTGAAGAGAAAAGACTAAACTCAAAGAAAAGAAAGTTGCCAAAGGAAGCTTTTGAAGAGATGAGGAGCAAGGTAAAGTAAAAGAAATGAAAGGCTGTAATGAGAGAATGAATTTAATTTTGAAATATGTATAACAGAATGAATTTTACTAAAGAAAAATTATAATTACAGGTAATTAAGGTGCAAGACTTTGAGTCGCCAAGCAGTTCACCGAGTTCATACACACCCTCCAGCCCTTGTAGCTCACGGTGCATGTCACCAGTAGGCAACAATACATTTAAATTAGAAGGCTAGTTTTTTTTTTATTATTGCACTAGAATCTTTAAGCTGATTTGATTTTTTAGGTGAAGGTTCTGACGATGAAACATATTCACCTGTTTGCAGTGATGAAGAAGATGAAGAGGAGACACCCGCTGGAATACATGCAGACGTCTCCAAAGACAATGATGCAACTCTCAATGAAAATACTTCACCCATCGCAAATACACAAGATGCTAATAACCGTTGCACAGCTGATAATTCGGAGATAATGAGGCTGTTAGATATTGCCTGCCAATCCAATGAGACTATTGAAGACAATATGCTTGACAAAGAAGATGATGACGAGCAAAGTCAAGGTGGGAACGAAATTCCTATCTATGAACAGTTTCACTTATAGGCGCTAACACTTTTTTGTTTTTACAGATGTGCCATATCAGAAACTGCCACAATTGGGCAACATGCCCCGGGGCACATTGGATCACTTGGAAAATTTACTCTTTCGCGTAACCTTACTGGTTAATAAGCGCAGCGAGTTGGGCGAAGCTAAAACTATGAATACACTTATCAAAGCAATCAATGTGTTTGGCGCCTATAATAATTTTGCTAGTTCCTTAACAAATATCTTGCAGTAAGTAGTAGTATTTACATTTAGACGTTGTTGAATTATTTGAGAATAAGAGGCATGTTTTCATTTTAGGGAGAGTCAGTTTTTCGCGCAGGTTATACGAAGCGGCATAGCACATAAGCTTTATCAAATGACGAAAACTATTATGGTAAGAAAGAATAGCTCTTTTATAATGTTGAGGTACAATTTGTGTGACAAGGTATTAATTCTTCATTCTTTTCATTTATGTTTCAGCTTATCGCGGAGGGTTTTAGTTTCTTAGTTACCCTTACATGTGTTGGGGAATCCAATTATGGCAAAGCTGAGTTAGCCCGTTTTTTACGCAGCGACGACGTGGATGCACAAAAACGAGCAGCCATTACAGTAGCATATATAATTAAAAGTAAACGTTTACTATATCAATTTTTAAGTGACGGAAAAGCGCTTCACTTTTTATTACAAACAATTTTGGCTGGGAAGTCAGATGACTTCACAGTAGAAGCAGTAGATGCGCTAACAGCAATGTCAAGATATACACTCGACTTTACGATAACTTTCGTACATGACTACACACAGATTTATGAAAAATTTATTGATAATGAAAATAAGCCACTGCACGAAAATTGCGATATGTGCTTTGTAGTGCACATTAAGTCAAACGCTGATGATCAATCACTTTCGCCAAACGCTGACGACGATGAGCAAATCGTGCACTTCAATAAGGATTTGTTGTGCAGTACAAGCGAAGTATTCAACACGATGTTAAACAGCGATTTTCGTGAACGAAATGAAGGCGAAATACATTTACGCACTTGCTCGGTGTTAGGTTTGCGTTATTTTCTCAATTTAATTGTTCGACGTTCAAATAATTTGAAATACAATATACCGCATGTTCATAATTATCAAGCTGTATTGGAGGCTTTCGAAATGGCACGTGTCTACATAATAAGCGAAATGGAAGAGTTCTTGTACAAAATGCTGATCTTTTTGATGAATGAAACTAATTGTTTGAGTGCTTTCGAGTGGTCATTGCGCAACTATCATGCGGAACTAACTGAAACAGTTATAAACTATTATTTGTGCTCGAATTTAAAGACACAAGATAAAGTGAAGCTATTTAATGAGGCTAATAGTTCCACGTTTTCTGCCGAGTGGTCACAAATGATTATCGACGCTATCTATACGCGTTGCCAAAGTTGATTCTCAACAAAGTGATAATAACACAGCCCAGTAAGCTTATCTTTAATATTGTGCTATTAAATAAAATACAAATAAATATAATCAGTGTTATAGTAATTCCTGAAAAATAATTAAAATTGTGGAAAAAAACAGAAAAACTCTATGAATTGCTGTTTAACATTTCGATCTAATATAATGTATTAAAGAACTATATACATATATACTTTATTAACTCATGTTTATGTTTAGTAATACCATTGACCATTCTTCGTACAACTTTACTTTAGATTATTTAATAAATAAAATACTTAATAGAAATAAGAACTACTCAGAGCATTTTTTCTATTACGGAATAAATTAAATGCGGTTAACAACAAAAAGCACAAAATTAATTGTAATAAAAGAAGGAAACAACAAAAGTTGATTACAATAAAAAAAACAAAAAAGGAAAGAAATAAAAAAACAAAAAATAGGAAAAACAAAAAAGGAAAAAGAGGAAACCCCAAAGAAAACAAAAAATGGGGAAAACAAAGAAACAAAAAAAAAATTTTTTCCAAGGAAAAAAACCAAAAAAAAAAAAAATTAAAAACAAAATAAAAGGAAATAATACCGAAAAAAACATAAAGGGGAAAAACAAAAAAAAAAAATANAAAAATATAAACAAAAAAAAAAGAAAACATAAACGAATCCAAAAATAGATAAAAAAGAGTGGAAAAAAACTTAAAAGGAAAAAAGATAAAACAAATAAAGAGAAAAAAATAAAAAAGAAATGAAAAAAAAATACAAAAAAAGATACGAAAAAGTAAACAAAAAAAGAAGAAATAAACAAACAAAAATAAAGAAATAAACAAACAAAAATAAAGAAAACAAACAAAAAGTAGAAAACAAAAAAAAAAAAAAAAGAGAAAAAAAAAAAAAAAAAAAAATATAAAAAAAAAGAAAACATAAACAACAAAAAAGATACAAACAAAAAGGAAATTAAATTAAAATGAAAAAAATCCAAAAAGATAAAAAAACAAAAAGGGGAAAAGAAGAAAAAGATAAAAATTAACAAAAAACATAAGAATCAAAAAAACTGAGAAAAAAACACAAAAAAGTAGGATAAACTATGTCGGGTATTTAACCTTCCTTTAACTAAAATTCACTTACGAACAGCCCAAGAAGCCATTTTGTTGAAGAATTCCATTAATGGAGATAAATATTAGAATCAACGGAAAATAAATTTATCACGAGGTAAGTGAGAATTTTTTCTTTACTCAAAGCAGAAAAGTAATATATTCAAATACGCATGTACTTTTTGGGGTGTAAATTAACCTTGAAGAAAACTTTTAATTTTTTGTTTTATTAATATACTTTATTTCATAGATACTTACATTTTAGCTTATTTTTTCTGTTTAATAAAAACTGAAACATACATTGATATACACTAAGAAAAAAAAATATGTTTATGTATTTCCGATTGCGTTAACCAAGTTAGTATGTATAAAATACTCAGTAAAACATAAAAAAAATTAAACTCAGGATATGCTCGTTCGCAAATTTCTTTCCAATTTACTTTCATATTATAAACTTTGATTTTAGCAATTTTCAACTAGCTTTAACTATAATTACAATAGCGCATCAGAATGTATACACTTGTAGTCAGTTAATACATTCTTTATGAATGGTTAGAAAATCACATATTTCATTGAACCAAATACAGTGTTGAGTTTTCGAAATATTCAATATTGTTTTTGTGGTTACCAAAAAAATATATGTATGTATATATTAATGTTTGTTGCAATTTAGGATGGCTGTCAGTTATAAAAAAAGGTACTTAAAACATTAAGAAGGCCAAATTGAGTACTGATTTTTTAGTATCAGTTTTGTTTGGCTACATTTTTACACTGCGAAAAATTGGTACTACTGTTAATTTTGTTTCACTTATACGGCTTAAAAAACTGCATTTACTTCGTTTTTATTAATGATTTTTTAAATTTTATTTTTCTTGATAAATTGTTTTACTTAATATATAACCCCTTTGCATTATGTATCATAGTATTATTATTTATCGTATATGTATAATTGTGTGTAGTATTATATTTATTAATAATATTCATATTATTTATTATGTTTATTTAAATTACATTTAGTTGCGAAACTATGCATTTTTAGGCATTTAGATTTCAGCTTGTTTCACTACTAAACCAATTGCAATTCTTCTGCGTCTATATGCTGTTGACAGTAATTTTCTGCTATAACCGCTGTTGTCGCGGGTTGAATATTTTACGTTTTTGTTTTTTTTTTTCGGACATATCGATTCATTCAACTGCATTTTCTTGCCGATGGTTGGTAATTACATTAGCATTGGCAGTTATCAGCATTACCATTGCGATTATTGCGATCGGTATTAAGGCGGATTTGATCAGGAAATTCATTGTATAATTCAACCTATGTAGAATAAAACGTAATGAGTAGTCGAATTTAGTAATGGAATGGTTAATAGATGGTAGCTAAAGAAATACTTACCTCAGCTTCCTGAGCAAGCGCATTTCTGGCAATTGTTTGGAATGCCAATTCAACATTAGTGCCATCTTTTGCAGAAGTTTCAAAATATGGCATGTCATTTTTAGATTGACACCATTGTTGAGCACGTCGTGTTGACACCTAATAAAATCGATTTGTGTTTTTTACAATTATATTTATATATATTTTTTATATTGAATAGAAAATTGTACCTGTCGATTATCCATGTCAACCTTGTTGCCCAACACTACGAATGGAAAATGATCTGGATCTCTTGGACTCGCTTGTATTAGAAATTCATCACGCCATGAATCGAGATTTTTGAAAGAGTTCGGTGATGTGACATCATAAACAAGTACACAACAATCAGCGCCACGATAGAACGCCACACCCAGTGACTGAAAACGTTCTTGACCAGCAGTATCCCAAATCTATGTCAAAAGAATGGCATGCCATTATATTAATTTTTATTACTAAAATCCTACGAACAAATATACTCACTTGCATTGTGACAACTCGATCGTCAGCCATTACTTCTTTTGTACAGAAATCAGCACCGATCGTTGCCTTGTACTGATTAGAGAAACGTTTATTTATATATTGATTCATGAGTGACGTCTTGCCAACGCTACTGTCACCGAGAATGATCACTTTAAGCAGAGACTTCTTACGCGTAGCCATAGCTGTTTATTTCGTTGTGATTGTTGTCGAACTTTACTCTCCAAGTAAATTTATTTGCTCGCTAGTGGCGGTTTCGCGATAAGCCTTAAAAATAAATGAAATACATTACTTATTATATTCTCAATAACAATAACACAATCTACACATATTCAGCATTTTGGTGAACAAAAGTAATGTAATTGTATATGAACACACATAGCGGCCGCAGAAGCACAAACCAAATACCAAAATTATGGGAAATTTTTTTTTTTTTTTTTTATTGCGGTGGTGACCCGCTGCGGGGAAATTCTCAAAAAAATCTATCATTCGTTCCATACAATTGAGGGAAAAATATTAAAACACATACCACACCATATGTATGTATATAGCTAAACAATTGTGATATAAATGAGTCAATGGAGCTTGCTATTTATCATGACCGCTGCAAAATTGAATATTTTGTAACGTGAGCATTATTGAATTACTGTTTATCGCTTTCTATTGTCGTAAGTACATTTGTACATATGAATATATAATACGTACGAATACATTTATCTACATGCATACATATGTGTGTAAGGCTATGATAAATAAGGAAATTTTAGAAAGCAGAGGATCAAAAGAAATATATGGGCGCAAGTTTTGATGATAATACAATTAAATAATTAAGTATGTGTATTTTACAATTGATTGGTATCTTTGTTCTTGATCATAAGGAAATTCTTAATGCAAATTTAGAAAATTATGCCTACATTTGGCTTTCAGTGTGGATAAGAATGCGCCTGCAAACTTATAGCATTACCATTTTATATAAATAACCATTTAGTAGATACATATATCTCTTTCATATTTCTTCATAGCTCTAGGATAATTTTAAATTATGGAAATCGCAGCGATTCTGTTTTTATAATAATTTACTTATTTTTTTGCTTACATACATATATGGAAAAATAACCAATCAAAATATTATGTTCAGTAAACCAACGGCGGCCACTTTATCAACAATATTTCCTATGCACATTAATAAGTACAGAAATAAACATAAATGTAAATTCATTGAACTTTTGGAGTCAATCTACCGATATGAATACTGATTAATTTAATAATTACAATATTTAAAACATTCACATATTTACTGTGGGAAAAATAGATGTAAAATAAAAAATAATTATCTGATGTCCGATTTCACTTGTTAATGTTCCTTATCAATTTTTCAATTACATTAAGAATATATGGTTATTCTTTTAATTTAATCCCCTTAATGACTTTTTCCACAATGTTGAGTAATCATCATATCTGACTTCTTCTCTTTCAACCAGTTTTTCTCGTTCCCGTTTTATTATTTTCAAACACGTACTTCACTTTTCACTACTACAACCACTGCATTCACGCCTCTAATTGAATATTAGCCATGTTTATATGCATTTGAAAACTAATTCGCTTATTTTAACTCCACGTTCTTGAAATGTAAATTTACCTTTTTCGCAAATACGCAGTTTTTGTCTTTTGTAAACAGATTGGTGAATTTTAGTAAATTCTTTTATGCTAATTATTAGACTAACAATACTCGCACAAAATAAAATGGACCAGCACAATGAATAAATACGCAGACAATGAGGAGCTAAGATAAACACAAAAACCAATAAAAATGCAAGAAAAACATACGAAAAAAATGTAAGAAGAGAATGACGTCGACAAAACGTGGTGAGTTTACATTAAAAATTGTGCTGCCAGAAAACTAGTGAACGAAATTCGTTTGGCACATATAGTTGAAGCTGGAAAGAATACATAACTAAAATTTCACAAAAATTGTAAAATGTAATGAAATTACTGGCTTGATTTTATGAATACAAGAGTCTTGGAGAGAAATAGGGATTTAAAATCTTAAGAAAAGTATTCAATCTTGTGAATGGAACGAACTATGTTTTTCATTAATCTCCAAACCGACAATGAAACTTAAGATATATTTCCTATAACAAACATAGACATTTCGTTCAATTAATATGGACATTTCGTCGGGACAGCAATTTAACTATTGAGTTTAACTATTTCAAAATCAAAGCATGGAAGTATTTGAACATCTACTAGAGTGCCGGCATTTTGAGAATGCTTTAACCATACTCGGAAGGACGGCAGGAAAGCTGTAGGCCAATCCAAAACCTACTGGCATCATACACCAGATGTATTCGCAATGGCACACGTAGGAAGTTGGAATATCTCGACTGTTACTGGCATACCTTATTTAGAATATTCCTCAGACATCTAGCAGCTTCACTGTTTAAAACACTAGCAGAAATTTCAAAACCAGATAACCAAATTCAACCTACATCTTTCACTAAAACACACCAATTAATATGGTGGAACAGCAGCTGGTGTAACCGTGTTACTGTAAAATAAATCAGCGATTTTAATTTCAATATTCATTCAAATCTTCTCTATTTGTCTCTTAAAATTTAAGTTTGCACACGGAAGTCAAATTCTTAACCGACATGGAAATCATGACAGAAGTTTTCCATTGCAATCAAATAGAAGTAAGAATTGCATATTTTTAACTAAATTTATTAAAAAAATATGTCATTCCTGTGATTCATTGTTTACTTTATACTCAATATAATGCAACTTTACTTTCTCATATGCCTTTAGTCAGGATATTACTACGTTTATGCTTCATTTCTACTCGGGTAGATTAAACTCGCAAGCATAAACACTTTTTCACCTCGAGTTAAGGCGTCTACTCGAGTAGTAGCGCTAAGCAATTCAATTTCATATTATTTTAAGAATATTTAATCAACTAATTGCATTTATTTCAAACAAGACACCACGAATTTAATCGGTCGGCAAAAGTATGCCTCCACTAGTTGAATTAATTTTTCAGTGAATATTTATCATTTTTTTCCAAAATACTATTTATTTGTCAGGTTTTACTCCCATTTGCCAATTCCTCTTCGTCAGTTTTTTTTCTTTCTTTCAAACTTTTATCCTTCCCATCTAACTTCATCATATAACGTGCCGTCAAAATTGAAAATTCCAATTGTTCAATGTTGACGCCGCGTTATTTTGGCATATCCTGGTAGTATAAACCCGGGTTGAGTTGAAATCAGCTGATTTGCATTTTACCTGATCGGTGTCTTTTCGCCAAAAATACAATTATTTACCTTAAAGTTTACCGAAATTTGTCTGTCCTGATATTAACTCTACTCTGAATACACCTCGAGTAGAACATTTTATGCTTGTAGGCTTAACCTACATCTTGTGGCCTTTTTTGGGTAATTTAAACACTGTTAAGTCTAGCACAAATATGGCAGCACTATAAAGACAGCAAAACACCGTTAACCAACACTGGTCACATTTCGTGGTGAAATACCTACGTACTCGAAGCATAAACAAAAGCAAACAGGTAAACTGGAATGAACTGAACTATAGAAATAATAAACATCGCAATTGATGTGAAAATTCTGAAAATTTTTAATAATGGATTAAACAAAAACAAGCACAGAAATAGTCATAATATTCATATACTTATGTATGTATGTATACAAATTCTACAACTATTTTAACTGCGCAGTATTTTCTTTCAGCCGTTTTTAATTTTAATTGCTGACTAATTTGGTTTTTCAATGAATGGTCATTCGCTTTCTCATACCAATGATTATATGCAAATTAACACTGATTTTTACTTGTGTGAAGAACAAAGACCTCAAATGAGTTCTTATTGTATGTCTTTTATTTGGATATTTAATATTAATTCATAATTTGAATATTGTGACTACTTATTCCTGTTCACTTTGCAAAATTTCAACACATTTTATCCACATACTTTTTATGTACGAATTTTAAAATATTTCCACACTTTATATAAAAACAACTCGTTTACAAAATTTCACTTTTTATATATGAGTGAATCTTTCCGATTAGTTGCCAGCCTTGACTTTTGGTCTCCGTTGTTCGTTAACTGCCCATAGAGGGCGCCCAAGCCAATTACTTCTACACACGGTTGCATATGTATTTTTTTGTTTTCATTGGGATATTGACGCTTTGTAACCGCTTAGGCGATTTTTCGACCGAGCTGCTCCGCCAATTGTGGTTTTGCGTCTTGATGTTTTTCCAACAAATTGATGGACCCACATTTTATACTATGCTGTCTCCGAACGGCTGATGGTTTTTAATGAAGAGCCTTTTTTTCATGTCCGAAATACACACTGAGGGGTGGACATTCCCTGTCGAGTGGCGATCGCAATTAGAAAATTTAGCTTAATTTTTTCTTAAAATAAATTTTCTATAACTTTTGGATGCTGGTCGCACGGGGATTTGAACACGAGCCTTCCGATTGACAGAACGCAATGCTAACCTCTCGGCTACCGCGGCCGCCAAGTATATCATTATTAAATATCCTAAAGTTTAGGCATATTTTGATTGCTTTTTTATATATTTGAATTTCCCGCTATATTTTTTTTTGAGAATAATTTTATTTTTCGTACTAATTTATCGATCCGGCAAGCTGCTATCCGGCAGCATCCGGCAAATACTGAAATTCCGGATGTGAAAAATCATTACGGATGTTAAAAGTAATTTACCAAAATTTTAGTCAACTATATTCAATTTTGCAGTGTTACTTAAAAAAGACTTAAGGGGAAACGGAGTGCCTGACGCGTTTGATTTGCCAAGAAATGAACATAATTTGGTATTAAAAAGCTATTGATTAAACAACTATTATAGCATTTTCATAAGTACGTGCGTGTCGAACTGCTCTGCCTGCGTAGCGATGCATATCATTCCACCAAGCGAGCAGACACCAAGACGTTGAACAGACGAAATGTAACGGGAGATGAGCCAACTTCGTTTTAAATATGCGAATTCCAACATTATTTAGAACACAGAATTCTCTTCAGTCAAACTGGTAAACTAATTATGTGTTATTGGCTGGTGGATATATTCTGTGATAAACGCACAATGTGGTAGATTAATGAGCCAACACGTCGCGGAATATCACGATTTTGCCATTGACCATTCCAGGCGTTTGGTGTGCATCATCATCAACGCCAGCACTAACATTCAATGCCACGCCTGCCTTTGCGTAGTACATGTTTATATAAACTTAAATAAGGCCATATACGCATCCACATAACTACATACTCGTATGCAGCTATGGTGGCACATACATACATATGTACACATGTTCATTTTCGCACTTGCGACTGCGGCTGCGTCTGTGCCTGTGCCTGCATCATCGTCAGCATTTGAGCCAATAATTATGGTTATTAATCGGCTGTGGAATTGGCTGCTAATTTGCAGTTTAGTCACAAATTCTTGCCGCTGGCGTGCAATTATGGCCTAAATTATAGCTTAAAAATAAACAAAACGCCGCATCGAATGTCAGCCAGTGCGCTTTAAGCAAGATGGGGAAGACAAGAAAAGCTTTAACAGCAGTCACAGCTACCAGCCGTAAGAACATCAGATCGGTATACATCGCAACGGCAGCAGATCATACACAGATTACTTTGTCTTCTTGGGTATATGATTTTGGTCGATATCTGCTTTGGACTGTGGACAGTGCAGGACACACATTTAGATGCATACGAATGTTATTGAACATGAGCTGATATTATGGTATCACCATCATACTAAATTACAATCGATTTTAAGGTATAGTCTTTATTGTATTTGAAATATCAACGTTGGCTCTGATAGCTGGAAAGGTTAATGTGTAAATTTGTTCCGCCACTTATACCAAGCAGTTTCTCAAGCTGTTTATAAAAGAGATAGCACAACGATGAGATAAACTTGAATGAAAATGTAGTGTATTTCTGATCACTATGAAAGTAGTGGACTCTTTGAAGGCGCTTGGCAACGACGCCTTACTCTTAGCGAATCGATATGATAACACCAAGGATGCCAAAGCAACATTTGCGGCGATAAAATCAAAAGTTCTTTAAGTAAGAACCGAATTTCATTGATTATTTGCAGAAAGTTTTAAGATCTGTAAAGGTTTTTGGATCGTTTGCAATCTAAGTGCGACGTTGAGCCATTAAATGTAGATCTCGTGATCTGCTCAATAACGCACGCATATGAATTTCAATACATTCAGTGTACAGAAAGCGTGAATATGGTTGGACGCAAGTTAAAATTTCCTGCCCAGTCGTGCTCTGCTTTTTGTTTCTTAGCTGAAAATCAAATGAGCAGCGTTTTTCTTCACGCAGAAATTTGATGGACGACTGAAGTTCTTCGAAATTCTGTGTTCTCTACTGAAGGATGAATAGCAACTCTTGTGCAGATCTGTATTACACACAACTGATGGGCTAGCGCTCCAGTCTTGAAAGCATTTCGTTGGAAAGAATAAGTAAGTATGAGGAGAAGTATTTGGCTTCATCTTTTCTATTTGACTTGGCGCCAATTCTGGCTAACTAAACTTGATATTATCCACATCAATCAAGAAGATTAAGAAAATAAAATAAATAGCTTTCATTGTCACGCCGAGAACTTTTCACCTTATACTCATATATTTAACCGTAAAACTAACTAAATTTGCCAACCCTAAAGCTGACATGATCTCACTCGCATTCGACTTTTAATGTGCCACGTTCGCGCATTTGGCACTTACAGTGCG